CCCCTCCCCATTCCTGAAGATCGTGTGCCGCAGGTGCTGGGTTATTCCTTCCAAAGAGGACGAATCTCCACTGCCAAAAATCTCTCTAACCCCATAACGCCGGCCATTGTTGTGAAAGTGGCTCCTTCGTATGCAGATGTCATTTCCACTTCACTTAGAAAAGCAGCCCCTTCAGCAGCAGAAGCACCCGGTAAAGGGCAGGGACATCTTCTGCTGCATCTCCCTCACGGATAGACTCGACTCCCTCGTCTACGACATCCAGGCACGGTGCGTGTAACATGTAACGGACAGTTGAGAGGTGCCCCCGCGATTCGCAGGAACCTATGCAGCAGAGGAAGCTCCCTCCGAGATCTCAGTGCCTCATTGTTGTCAATCTTCCGTAGGTCGAAGCCACCACTGCCCAGGCTCGCCTGGACCACGACCTGCAGCTGCTGAGATTGCACATGGTCACCTTGTTTGATGGTGACGAGGTGGAACCAGCGTCATTCAGGTTTGGAAAACCCCGCCAGGATAATTCTCCACGACCACTGAAAGTGGTTCTTCGAGCAGAAAGTGATACTCCAGTGGACCCACAAGCTGAAGGGAACTCCGGTACGATTCCTCAGGGATCTTGATCCGGACCAGCGCAGTAAATTGAAAACTTCATTAGAAGAACCCAGGGAGCGCCGTGCAAAAGGGGAAACTGATCTGTGTATACGGGATTTTCGTTTGCACTGGAAGCACCCTCAGTTGCGTTGGCTACCCTTGGTCGGGGGGAGGACCCAGGAGATTGTTTAACCACGGACGGAGGGATTAGCTTGAGGTGTGAATGGCGAGGTAACCACGCTGTGCTAGCCTCAACCAATACCCGAGGGATGCTGGGAAAAAAGGATGAGCTGGAGGACTGGGTTGTATCCCACAATCCCTATATTTTTGCAATCACTGAGACCTGGTTGACACCGGATGTCCGAGACTCCGAAATATCACTCCACGGATACACAGTGTTTTGAACGGATCGATCATCGTCACGTCGCGGTGATGGAGTTGTTCTTTTTGTTCGCTCGGGTCTCCTTGTTCGAGTGCTGGAGAATTACGCCCATCCGGAAGGATTTGGAGAAGCCCTGTGGTACAGAATCAAGCTTTGTGCCGGAGGG